GGGTCTCCAATAAAGGTGCTTTTAGCTGTATCCCATCTCTTTTTCTTTAACTCTCCCTGGATCAATTTCTATTGAATATTTTTCATCCTGTCGCGCCTGACAACATGAGCAGTTGCAGTGTAGCTGTCTGTGGTCATGTAAATCTGGTGTGTGTGTGTGTGTGTGTGTGTGTGTAATTTTAGGCAAATTGTATCAATATGTCACGAGCAGGATACAAATGCATTTTTCTTATTATAACAAGTGCTTTAATAGTGTTTTTTACCTTACAATGTCTGACTGCTGTCTTCCTGCGTCTTCCTCAGAAGAGTCACGTGATGTTGCTGTGACGGTCTTCATCAGCTATTGTTTTACAGGCGTTTCATCTGTTCAATTCGGATCAAGAGAAGCAACAAGCACCACTGTTTGATTTAGGGGAGCGCCATTGAGATTCGCAAAAAACGGGCCCCAAAGGACAAGTGAACCGCGGACGAGGGCGTAGTGTCAGCCCCTCTGCATCGCCAAATATGCTACCATCTTAATCTATATTCTCCATAAAAACCCTCACTTACATCCTCCCTTCAGCTCCGTCGTCATGTGACACACCTCCCCAGTGTCTTATCTCCACGGATCGCGATCTTCACTACACCGTCTCATCGCCTCAGTTCAATGCTATCCCGTCATCTTCTACTGACGCTTTGAACTCCCTGTTAACGTTACTCGGAACCAAGCAACTTTCCAGAACTACCTTCTGTACCCGCATACATCTATTTGTACTCTGCTCGCTCTAGTATCTGTCCACACTTGTATGCTAAATTGAGCCTTAACTCCTTCGTATCTGTTGCTCCCTCAGTACATACGGCACGTCACAGCGTCCCGTGAGCCTCCTAAGTACAGAACAGGCACGTATCTACACACGCCGCGCTAGATCGCTCTGCTCCCAACAATGACAGCACCTGCCGCAGTGGTGTACATATTTGCCATATAACTGTCTATTCGGCAACTTCGACCTACAACCATACATGTTATGATCGAATGACCTTGGCCTTTTCCCAGTTCATGATGTGATTTTCCCTTTTGCAGTGGTCTGATATGGTTGATTTTAGTTCTCCTGTTCCTCAGACCCCTGCAAAACATACATTGTTGTCCACACCTGGGATGCTGTCTGTAAGGAGCGGCTGAACAGCAGGGGGCGTGGTCATCCAGTCTGTCTAAACAACAGCTGATAAGACATGTCACAGCAACATCACATGACTCTTCCGAGGAAGACTGCAGAAAGACAACAGTCGAAACATGTCAAAATTAAAAAAAACCCTTTAAAGCACTTGTCTTCGATAAGAAAAAAGCATAAATAAGTGCAGTAGAGACAAGATGAACATTTTTGAAAGGGAACAATGCAGTTCACAATAGTTTCCACTCATATGCGTACAGAAGTGGCTGAAACTATGTTTTTACCATTTGGAGGATATTTCCAACTCTGGTTATTTTTATAATCACTATTATGACTACAGTGCCTACTTCTACACATCAAGTCTCTGCCCAACAGATTTATGGTGCAGAATGGTGACAGCAAAAATGTATTTACGAACGAGTCAAAATTTTCATCTTCACAATTTAGGTCTTTAGTATACTGCTGTGTTATGGGAATCTCCCTGCTCCCACTGTTTTCATGTATCTACCACTTGTTTTTGGTTGACAGTGAGTGCTTTTTCCATTAACACACATTCTGTTGCCCCCGAATCAACTAAAAATTCAACCCTTTGACCCGTGACCTGGAGAGTGAGTGAGGCAATGCTTTATAGGCGCCTGATTTCACCATTTGATAAACTCTCTCTCTCTATGCGTGGCTTCAGAATTTCAATAGGCTTAATTGCTTAATGTAGCAGTTGTAAATCATAAATCATTACTGCATTTTTCTTTCGAATTGTCTTTACTTTGCTGGGCTGAAGAGCAGCAGGAGAACAGGTGTGTTAACGCACCTCACACAGGTGTCTTGAGTGTTCTTAGTTCTGTGTCCTGAGCTCATCCTCTGTTTGCCCTTCAGATGAGCTGGCTCCCTCTGTCATTTCACCTTTGTTCCTGAGTGCGTTGAGTGAGTTTATTTCATTATATTTTCTCAAGTCACTTTATTTTGTTGTTAAGTAGTACATGTAATCTCCTTGGTTTGTTCTCACATGATTACATCATCATTTTTCACACTCAAAGCTTTTGTATTGTGTTGAAGGCCAGAGCAGCAACACAAGCCACAGTCTGCTGGACCTGACCTGGACCGTGCCGGATCCAGATCCAGTTGTGTGTCCATGAAGAGCGACTGGTTCATGGGTCATCCTATTTAGACAATCTGTTGATGGAAGGTCAGAATTTAAAACTGTCAGAAAGACATTTCAACAAAAAAGTTAATTGCTGTGTAAATTAAAAGATTGAACCTTTTTTTCCATCAGGTTTTATCCACCATAGACATTTATCAGTTGTGTTTTTGTTTCAGGATCCAGCAGCAGAGATCAGACTCTCCTGGGAGGATGTTTATCATTAACTTTAAGGACAACATCCAATCAGCTGATCAGATGTAAGCTCTAACTGACAGTAAGACTCAGGTTATTGTAGAAAAAAGAACTAGTTTGTACAACATGATGTTCAACCATGCCTGATGCCTGTTTTCATTAGTGACCGGCTACAGAGGGTATGATAATGTTAGCTAACTTGCTCTCACCCATATTATGAATTTGTCAGGCAAATGCAGTTATTGCTAGCTGGCGATGCTAGCATCGGCTAACGATTGTGTCTGGGGTTGTTTTTTTGTTGGCTCTCGTGCACACAGAAATAACTTTATTCAGTTATGCTTCTTGTTGTGTGTTTAGTGTCGCATCCATGGGGCTTTGTGTTATTGGAATAGTTCCCCTGTTGGAATGACCTCCAACTGCAAGTCATTAGTCCGCCAATGCTATTTAATGTTTGTTGTATTGAGTTTCATCAATGAGATTTATACATCCACATTGTTGCACCTCATTTACAGCTTCCTCTCCTGAGCTGAGCTGATACTCAGCGCATTAGATGTTTAGTTTGCACCATCTAGTGGACAAATAAGAACTACATCACCTGGTTTGTGATTTGCACATGGCACAGACTGGGCTTCTGTCACAGGTTAGACTAGTTTTGATGTCACTGATGTGTTTTTAGACTTGGACTTTGAAGTTATGAGGGTGTGACTTATCCTCAGATCAACACACACAGACACCAGGACAGACGAGGAGAAGTTTTGTAAGTTCTTCTGTTTAATAAACATTTTTCACCGTTTCCCTTTGTTCGCTGCATTTTGCGGTCCAGCCTTATGTTAAAACATGACACTTTGAGGTAATGACAGTTTTAGAAAGCAGATGGTTCAGAGCTTCTTTGTGCTTGCAGTGAAGATGATGAGCCAGTTTTATTACCGTTTTACACAAACACAGTAAACAGAAACCTCAAACTGTCTGACAACAAGAGGACTGTGACATGGGTGAGGAGGGTCAGTCATATCCTCATCATCCAGACAGATTTGACGAATTACCTCAGATGTTGTGTAGAAAGGTCTGACTGGTCGCTGTTACGGGAGGTTGATTGGAGAGAGGTAGTTCATATATCCGTGAGTTACAGAGGAATCAGAAGGAAAGGAAAGTTTGCTGTTTACTGTTTTATTTGGAAAGTAATGATTAGTTTTGGAGTCTGATCTGCTCTAATGTTCTTGTGTACTCTGCTTGTTGCAGAGTAACGGTGCAACACTGACAAGTCATAAATCCATGGAGATTGTGCCAAATGAAAGATGTGAGTTTCTAGATTAAATAATTGACAACCAACTGGAGAGCAAAGAGTTGAATGCTGTAAAGGTGTGAGAAGGAAATGATTCTGTGTGATTATCAGAGCAGAAAGAACAGTTCAATTCATCCCTATTTTGCATTCCACATATGTCCAACGGGCTGAGACTCTGCTTTTATGGCTTTTATAGTTTTTATACATTACACTGTATATTGCTTATCTGTTCAAAATTGTTTTTATACTTTAAATATTGTTTCTTTTGTTGTATATTTTGTTTAAGGGCATCCTTGAAAAAGAGAGCTTGTTCTCAATGGCCTTCCCTGTATAAATAAAGGTTTGAATGAATAAATGCATGAATGAAAAAGAAAATTTAGAGGGGTTACAATTACCATGTGGTTCATCATTACTGCAGTATGCTGATGATTTAATGATCTGTTCTCCAACAAAGCAGGCCTGCGAAACAGACACAAGAGCTCTCCTGAAACACCTGGCAGAAAGTGGTCACAAGGTCAGCTCATCTGAATTACAATGGGCATCACAGAGAGTGACACCAGAGGGCAAATCCCTCTCTCCCAAACAAGCAGAAGCCTCAAACAAAGAAACAGGTTATGAGTTTCCGAGGCATGACGTCATATTGCAGACAGTCGATATCTTCCTATGCAGAAATAGAGGCTCCACTCTCAGACTGACAAAGCAGAGCACAGCATTTAATCAGCTCAAAACAATGTTACAACAGGCAAGCTGTTGATGAAAAGTTGGGTTTTTATATATTATCTGTTTTATTACAGGAGCACGGCAGACGCAGAAGGCCAACAAAATGCTTGAGAGCAGTATTAGCCAACAAGTATTACTCTGTCTGTCATACTCCTGACACCAGGAGACAGTAGCATCATTAACAAATGAAGAAAGATGCATTTTGATGTGTTTGCTGTCGAGGTTTTCTTTTCATTTAAAAAATAAGATTAAAAAAATGTATTTGCCCAAACTTTTGCAGGCAAGTGTATCATTTCAGACTAATTTGAGAAATACATGAATTTGCTGGGTGGTAGGCAACTTTTTAGAATTCTAATAACTCCATGAGGGACAGCTGAGTTACAAAAAACCTGAGAGGGCAGATTATACAGCCTATTAACGGTAATTCACGTGGCAAACTAATGGAATTACTTACTCCAGAGATTTGATGTATTCATTACTTATGTTATAACCGCATTGATGTGAAAGTAGCTAAAGAGATTATTGGAGGATGCGGGCATCGATCCCGCTACCTCTCGCATGCTAAGCGAGCGCTCTACCATTTGAGCTAATCCCCCCTGACGGAAGTTTCTCCATATATGGAAATTGACGGATAGAATGTCGAATCGTGTTCGATATATTTACATTTATTTATTTGGCAGACACTTTTATCCAGAGCGACTGACAATCGAGAGACATCACGGAAGCTCCAGTGCAGTAGGAGACCTTTAAGTTACTTTTCTACAAACCGCTAATCTGTTTTCTCTTTACGTATAAATCTTAGTAGGCAGACAGTTTTTGTATGACACGTTCTTGTTCCCAAAGCACTCATTAGATTTCGGCAATTACAGGAGCAAAGATACAAACTCACCAGCTGGGAGACAGTCATTTCGGTTCAGTCATTCTTGTAAGGCACAAGAACCAGAGCCATGGCCCTGACAATACGATACCAGGTGGACGTGTAAAAGCGACGATTACACCCGTTTCTCAAAAGTAAAAGTGTCTTTGGAGGATGCGGGCATCGATCCCGCTACCTCTCGCATGCTAAGCGAGCGCTCTACCATTTGAGCTAATCCCCCATGGTGCCGTTAGCTTTGTGACGTCATATTATATACGTAGTTTGTATACATATGGTTGGCGGCTTCCGAGTATTTTTCAATGTGATGGGTAAGAACAGACACAGTAAAGACGATTTACAGTATAGAGGATCTTTGGTAGTACTTTCCAAAGGTTCAGGAACTTCGGGGGGTGTGGTCTGCAGTGCTGAACATTTCTGACTGGTCGCGTCCTCGCTGCATTTTATTTCACCCACGATGTTTAAAAGTCAATTTTTTTTAATTATCTTTTGTGCGTGTGTGTGTGTGTGTGTGTGTGTGTGTGTGTGTGTGTGTGTGTGTGTGTGTGTGTATTGGAGCTTGGGATCACAAAGTTGCTTGTAGGGGACCTAACTTCTTGTTATCTGAATGAATAGCTAGTTACAGCCAAAAGTTTTGGATTGTGTTTGTTCATTACACCATGCAAAGACGAAGAGAGAAGATACACAACTGCACTTTTACCATATCAACTTTATATATATGTCAGCATTGTGTTTGCAGCTTTTTCCATTGCCCTCAAGTGGCCAAACATCAGTTAATGTAGCTTTAAGCTAAATCGAAAAAGTAGTAGAAAATATATCTATATATATATATTAGATGCTGGTTGCAGTGGGATTGGACGCCACAAAGCTCTTCTCAATAAGTAGATAGCATTTTTTATTGTCATGTCTGTCTCATGACAATGAAAAATGCTAATATCAAGCACAAAAGGTCAGTCTATTTGGGGTTAGGTTAAAATTATAGCAAAGACAGACAGAGAGAGAGGAGCAGAGGGTAGTAAGAGTGAAAAAAAACAGAAAAGAGAGGAGAACAAAAGAAACAAGACAATTCCCCCATGTGTCTGTTTTTCTCCTCTCTTTATTCTTCAGTCTGTGCTAAAATTGTTGTGTTCTCAAGTGGTCTGGCAGGGAATGCTGGGAATTTTGATCTACAATACAGTATAAGCAGCTCCATCTGAAATTTCTGTGTGCTCCAACCTCAGTAACTCCTCCACTGTGTCAGTCACTGCTCTGTGTTTTGTTTTTACATATAATCATGTTTCCAATTAACCAATTCTGTAACATTCTATACCTCATTTTATCGGCCAAAATCAACCCACTCTGCTTTTCAGGCATGAAACTGAACTATTTCATTTCACTTTACCCATGTGATTTGAATTAATTATGCTTCTATAGCTGGTGGCTTAATGGAACATGTCAACCTATAAGGTCAGGGTACAAAAACATCAGATATTGTTTCATAATGTTGAAGTCCATCCAAGTCTTACCTGATTTTTGGCTCCAGTGCGAAAATACACAGAGAACAGATGCTATATAGTATTGTAATGGGCTGGGTCACATGTTAATGAAACTGTGTTACTGTCTTAAGCATGTTATATTTAGTTAAGGTAGAAAGGACTTGTTATTGCAGTTACTGAGTTTTCCAGATTGTCAGTGAATGTGTGTTATGTTTAAAGGCTGTGAAGCCTGTCGGTCATCGCAGCTACCTATGAAAGTGATTTGTGTGAGATAATGTACCTGTGATTGGTAGAGAGGGAGGAGGACAAGTTGTTGTTCATTCTGGGGAGCAAGTTTACGCTGTAAAACCAGCTAAGTTTGTTGTTTTGGCGTTGGCCACGTCCCACGGTAGCCTGTGTTCTTTGGATGAATAAAGAGCTGCTGAAATAAACTAACAACCCATAGCTTCATTATTGAGGGTTGCTACAGTATTAAAGGAGAGCAAAGAAAATATGGACTGGTGCTTCAAATTATAAATTAAAATATGGGTTCAGATTGCTGTCCCAGGCACCAAAGGGAAACATACATACATACATTTTTGGCATCTCTTGACAAGACACTCATTCAAGACTGTAATTAAATTACATGGTGACAGGGAGGACAATTAACTGTCTTGGTGATAAATGATGAGTTTTGGGGAATTGGGTGCAAAGGTCTGAACAGACAATCCTACATTAGTTCAGGACATTCATTGGCCTGAAACACAGATGTGTGCTTGAGGAAAAGTGAATTCCCCCCTCTGATCCCAAGGCCCGTCAGCTGACCACCACACTCTCGTAAACCAGAGCCAGGCCTCTGCCGCGCCTTTGATCACCTTACACCTTGAAGAACTGCCTCACATTTATCACCACTTTAAAGGGGCGTTCAGAGATCTGATGATCCGCTGCATTCCTTGTTTGTTCCATCATAGTGTTTTCTCAGAAGGAGTTCGTATTTCTTAGTGTAACGCATTGTATTACAAACAAGTATCAGCTTTGGAACACTGGAAAAGAGGGTTACCTGCTATTGAATGTGCACTGTTTACATAAGAAATATACAATATCAAAGAATAATACATTTCTTTCTCATTATTTGTAACTGTTGCTGCTTCAGTAAAAATATCAAAACTTAAAGGTGCACTACACAATATTTTTATATTAGCAATGGATCACAGTGTTTGATGTGAAAGGAGGTGCTTGTAGTTATAAACCCACAGAGGATTATCACTTCTGTAGTTCCCTGAAGCTCTGGAGCATTTTAGTCTTTTAGATGATTATTTTTCAAGTCTTACAAGTTTTCTGTTTTGGTTCACTCTCACTTCTCTGCTCAGCCTTGTTTTCAGTTGCCAGCAGCTGTTTATCTCTGATAAGCCCACTGTATGCCACGATACCAGCATCTCACAAACAAAGTTAGCGGCTAGCTGTTGAGCACAGCGCAGCGTTTAGCAGAATAAGATATTCCCCTGAGCAGTTGCAAAGGACCAAAAGAGAACGAAAAGGAGAGCCAGGTAGATAGAAACATAACTGCCAATGAACCCTTAAGTTGCTCTATATGAGCTGGATGTGTAATTAGGAAGCGAATTGCTAACACATTATCCATATCATCTTTACAAGGTGACAATATGTCAGTAAGTTTGTTTCCACACCCGAATGTTTTATGCACATTTTCAATTTGCACAAAAAAATGGAGGAAAAAAAGCATAAAAACTGAGGTAGAAAAATGATGTAATGACTAAAGGGATGAAAAATGGCATCGTATTAAAACTTCAGATCTGTCTGGACCAATGAAGAGACTTACTAACATTCACATAACTGTAGTGCACACGCTCTAATTTAGATTTTTTTGTCAAACTTCTCAAATTTTGTTTCAAATTTGCATTAAAATCGGATGAAAACTTAATTACTGGTGCATTTACAATTTTTTGTGCCCCTCACAATTATCTAAAAAAAAGAAAGGATCAATCATTTTACTTTCATGACTGAAACAAAGTTTCCAAACCTCAATAAAGTGCACACCATTCGACATGAGCAGTAAGAGTATGTTTAAAAAGTATGACCCCACTTTGGCTTTTTCAATAAAAACCCCTGGTGTGTGTCTTTACAGATCCCGGCTGGTGTTTCCTCAGCGGTGTCGTTTAGAAGCAGGAAAGATGGAGGCATTCTTCCTCCCAGGGCCTGCTGTTCTTTCTTTTCCTGTCCTCTTTCCACTCTTGCTCTAAATCACCGCGGCAGGACCTGCAGGGGGCAGAGGGGAACATAAAATATGCAGCTCTGACATGCATGAAAGACTGTGATGCTGCTGTTCAGTGCAGGAGCTGAGGCAAGACAGATACAGATGAATAAATGGATGAGGGTAGGATGGATGGATACCCTGAACTAATGTCCACCCCCTTGGAGTCGGACACGTGTAGGGGGAAAAGGGGAAATGTGAGGAAGCCTGTTAGTCTTCCTTTCAAACAATGCTTCAACTACATTTCTAGAGTTTCAGTAAAGCTTTATGGCATTTTAAGGTCTGGAAAGTTCAAGTAATTGTTTCAGATGTGAAAGTTATTAAACAGATGGAGTGTAGACAGCGTTTGCAGATATATTTTAGTCTGATTATAATCCAGAATAATGGCGCTTGCCAGATATGAGCATACAACAAGTTCCAGAGAGCGTTTTAAAATAATATGATTGATAATGTACCTGATGTAATCTGAATTGTTCTGCTAAACCTTCCCATCAGGTTATTCACGGAGCACAAGAAAAACGCTGGAAGTAATTGGCAAATGCTGTTGGGCCCAGGTCTGGTTTGAATCACCTTCAAAAACACACCACTACTTCATCCTGGAGCTTCGCAGAGCCGTATCATAACTCGCTGCTTTTGTTTTTAAAGGCTGATAATTGTATTTTCACTTGCTGCCTCCTTTCACCAGGCAGTAAAATGTCCCAGGACAGACTCAGGCGATCAGTTAGGACAGGAGCAACACTTCAGACAGCCCATTGTGTGTGAGTGTGAGTCTGAGTGCAAAGAATGACGCTTCACATTAACGCTAAGACACCTGGTATATTGTGAAAGAGATATAAGCGCACAGATATGAAACACCACTGACAGTTTTATATTGCTTCAGTCGAACCTAAAAACAACTGCAGCACAGATGATTTGAACAAGGTGAGGATCAATTGGAAGAGTTACTGACCTAAACTGCCAATAGATATAATATCAGATACAAGGTCAAACTATTATTGTGATGTATATACTGTATTACAGTAGTCTTTTATAGACTATCATGTCTTTTTTAATGGGTTAGTAACTTTAGCTCTGCTGGTAATGGTGCACCACGTTGGTCCACCTGAAACGTCTCAGCAACTGCTGAGGGATGAGCCACATGGTCCCCAGAGGATGGATCCTGGAGATTTCAGTAATCTCTTGACTTTTCATCAAACTCCACTATTTGGTTTTTTCCTTTTTTTAGTATTGCGTGAAATATCTCAACAAAAACTGGATGGATTGCCATGAAATCTGATACAGATACTAAAGGTCTCCAGATGATGTATTGTACTGACATCGGTGATTCCCTGACTCAGATCTAAAGCCACAGAAAGGTCTAAATCTAAATAGGTTTAATACTTTGGCTTATGACCAAATACCTGCAAAACTAATGATATTTCCATCAGCAAAAAGGTGCTAAACTAAAGCTGGATTTATACTTGAAGCCATGGGTTACTGTGAGTCCTGCTGTGGGTACATTTGGCGTAGGTTTTGATTTATACTTGAGTATCAGATTTCACTCCTTGATAAC